TCCCATAAGACTTTGAAGTAAAGAAAAATGCTGCTAGAGACTGTTCCTCCCATTGAAGATGGGATCTCTCCTGTCTACATCTGGATGCATTGAAGTATGTTTGGTTTACTGATTATAATGCAAACCGCATTCAAAAGAGAGGCTGAATTTTTCAAAATTTATTTCATTTATCTTTAGGAATTGGACTAAAATTTTGTTTATTTATTAATGGTCAATTTGGGGTAGGTAGCTTAAAAGGTATGCAAAAGCTGGTGTGTGCCGAACCGCATTTTTTCAACGAGAGAGAGAGAGTATTAATGGGTAGGGTAAAGGAGGGGAAGGGTAGTTTAGTCTTTAAAACACTAACTTTTTGACTGAGGGGGTGGGGGGGGGGGGGGAAGGGGGAGGGTAAAAGCAAGAAAAGACAGTGACTAAGTTATAGGTGTGATACTAAGAGTATTGGGGGGTAGAATTTCTACGAAGTGCATTTTAGGGGGGTATCCATAATTTTCCCTATATTTAAAATATATACGCACACATATGACATATATAATATTTTTATAAATTTCCCTATATATGTATGATGTGTGTGTGTGTGTTCTTTGAAAGATATTGTTTGAATATTTTTTTAAAAATGCTTTTGTTAGGTTTTAGACCTAAACCCGAACCTGGTCGGGTTTGGGTCCAAGTTTTTGACCTAATGGGTTGGGTCTGAGTCCATACCTTGGACCCAAGTTGGGTTCAGATTAGGTTGATCCGGACCCGAGCTGACCCATTATCACCCCTAAGTTTAAGGAATATAACAATTTATGCAATAAATAAGGGACAAGAGAAGGTGAAAAATATGTCTTCAAACTACCAAAAATGAGAGAGATGAACTATATGGATCTAGATTATGTTAAATGCATTAAGAGTGAGGGTTAGAGGGTCTTGGTAAAGGATGACGAGGTCAATACAAGATGGAGAATTTATTTTCAAAAATTGCTAAATGACCACTATGGGAGCACGTCCTTAGGAGGAACCTTCGACATAAATAAGGTTGGAGGTCATAGATATATTTGTAAGATTAGGATATCTAAAGTGAAAGAAGCTTTGAGAGAGATGAATATAGGAAAGATTTTAGGACTAGATGGTATCCCCATAGAAGTTTGGAAGTGCTGGGGAGGGATTGACCACGTTGTTCAACAGGATTTTGAGAATAAAGAAAATACAGATGAATGGAGAAAAAGTATTGTGGTGCCTATTGACAAGATCAAAAGAGACATACAAAATTGTACGAACTATCGAGGGATCAAACTTATGAGCTACACTATGAAACTGTGGGAGAGAGTGATTGAGCAACGAATACAACATGAAACGAGTGTATCAAAAAATTAGTTATGTTTTATGCCAGGGAGGTTAACAATTGAGGCTATTTTCTTGCTTAGGCAATTGATTGATAAGTTTAGGGAGAAGAGGAAAGACCTCCACGTAGTATTCATTGATTTAGAGAAAACATAAGAAAGGGTACCTAGAGAACTAATTTGGTGGTTGTTGGAAAAGAAATGAGTCTCTAAAGGATATCTTGACATGGTGAGAGATATATACGAAGGAGTGCTAACTAGCATGACGACAACTAGTGGAGAGACAAGTGAGTTTCTAGTGACAGTAGGCCTACATCAGAAGTTAGCACTGAACCCTTATCTTTTTGTTTTGGTTATGGACGAGTTAACCATGCATCTACAGGATGAGGTATCGTGGATTATGTTGTTTGCAGATGCAATAGCTTTGATTGGTGAGATTAGCGACGATTTCAACGCAAAGTTAGAACTCTCAAGGGATGCTCTAGAATCAAAAGGTTTTAAAATTGGGTGTGGTTGGTATAAGACTGAAGCTGTAAATGATCCGAGTAAGGCACACCTTAAAATAGTGTTGAAAGATATTATTTTAGTACTGAAAATCTTTGTGATGGCTTGAAAATTTATTTTCATCTCTAATTATGAAATTTAAGGCGTCAAAAATCGTGTAGATCTATGAACACTTGATAATCTTGAAAATTGACTGTCCAGAAAATGCATTACAAGATGCACTATTTTCAAAATTTGAAATTTATTTTTTCGCATGTTCATAGATCTTGAGGTTGAGATGATCGATTTGAGGATTTTTAGGCATAAAAAACAACCTCTTCTAGTAGATTTTTGAGGTGTGCCTTAATTTGGTGGTTTAGAGCCTCACTTTTATATAAAATTTTTTCTTTAAAATTAATCAGGCTGAGACAAAATATATAGAATGCAAGATTAGTAACAATAAAAATAGAAATGAGGAATTAGTCGAGATGGATGGCCAAGAAGTACCCACAAGAGATTATTTTTGATATCTTGGGTCGATAATCTAGGAAAATGGAGAGATTGAGAAAGATGTCATGTACAGAATTAGAGCTTGGTGGATGAAGTGGAGATGTGCTTTTGGAGTCTTATGTGATCGTCGCATAACCATGAAACTGAAAGGGAAGTTCTATAGGTTGGCAGCCGGTCGTGCTTTATGGGATGGAATGTTGTGCGATCAAGAAACAAAATATTTACATAATGAGTGTAGTTGAGATGAGATGTTGAGATGAGTGGCAAGTCAAGACAAGATAGAACTCGGAACGAATATATCAGAGAGAACCTAGGGGTGGCTCAAATAGGCAATAAGATAGGGGAAAGTAAACTTACGTGGTCTGCCATATGTAGTATCAACCTAGAACAACACTAGTTCGCAAGGGCAATTTAGTTTGAGTGGAAGGCTCTAAAAATGTAACAATAAGGCCCAAAAGCACATGGATGGAAGTAGTGAGAAGAAGTATGACAGTCTATGGCTTGATTGAGGGTATGGCCCTTGATAGAGCGGAATGACAGAACATGAATTGTGTAGCCAACCCCAAATAGTTGGGATAAGGCTCAGATGATGATGATGATGATGATGGTGTTAGAGAACATGATCAAACTTGAAAGATCATACATACTTATTTGCTGACTGGAATGGTCTATATCACCACTCAGGGTTTTACCTCAAAAGGAGGAATTCAATGGTGGTCTTTGAATTTGAAATTACCTACTTTTGAATTCAATGATGCTTTTTGAATTTGTCTACCCTATAAACTCCCAAATATCCATTGAGATTTTAGAGCTATAAATGAGGACTAGGGCCGTGTACATGGGTAGCGAGTAGGGACACCCTTTATTTCCAATCTAGTCTTCTAAAAGGGACCAGGGAACAGCTATGGTTTGGAAATAGGTTGCACTTGGGCTAGGGTTGGTGCACCCTTCTTTCCAATCTAGTTTTCAGTGTCCCCTATCCGTTGAATTTTGTGCCAATCTATTTCATATAAATTATGAATATAAACAATTGGATACATTTAAGGCCATTTTCAAACTGAAATACATTTCGGTCCTGGCAAGAGTCATACACATGAAACGTGCTTTTACAAGTGGGATAGAAATAAAAAATTTCTGTTTTTTTACCTCATAAAGGTGTGCCATTTTAAAAGTCCACCGATTGCTGTTTGCAATTGAAATGGCTAATGGAGATGTCCTAAAGTGCAACAAAATCCAACTTTCTGCGAAAACAGCACCAAAACACACGTTGGTCAGGCATGTATAGAAACCAGCTTTTAAGTCTTCTTATAATATATTAAGATGATTGATTGAAAAACAAAACGCGATGATTGTTGATCAATAGGGGTGTTGGATTGGAGCACTTGAACATGCAATGTTCTTCCACGACTCCACTCATGTTAGATATCCACTTCAAAGCCCTTCCTCACAAATCCTTGGCATATATTGATTTTGACTTGATGAGCATATGTTCATTTTGTACCTCGACATTAAAAACCACCTCAAGATCTAGATTTTGATCTGTGTATCGAACATTATTGAGGTTGATGGTCATTTCTTTATAGAGGAGCTACAGTTATGTTGCAAATATATGAAGAAATTACAATAATATCATAGAAAAGGCTCTGACTAGAGATATACTTCTTTTGTACAGGGTGGGCATATGCATAGGGTATTTTGGTCTTCTTAAATGCATGAAATCATTTATGTCGATTTTTACACATAGGATTTGTGAGATTGTGGGTTTGCCCTAGCCTTGAATTGCTGTCATCAGTTACTATCTTCCAAAATCAACTTCTCTCTGGCAAGAAAGGATTATCTATTTTTGATATTATGAAGGGTTCAACAGTCCAGAACTCGACATCCAATCAAAACACCCTGCTTAGTTTGAACCTTTGAATGGGTCAACATCTCACCCCACCCCGCACCCTTCCCCACTTGTTCGTGTCTGTAGACTTGCTCTGCTTCATGGACATACAGTTTGTCTGTGTCTGCATGCATGCGCGTGCACAAACACCACTCGCTCAATAGTTGACATCCACATGCTCTCTTTCATTCACAAGCAGTTACTTCTTTGCTCCTAGGCATTCTCTCTCTCGTGTGCATGCAGACTCATCTCTCTCTCTCTCTCTCACACACACACACACATACACATACACATACACACACTTAAGGAGCATAGAAACTACCTTCTAATTGTTTCTAAAATGCGCATTTGTCAGTCGCATAAACCTCTCTCCCCCCTTGCTTTCTTTATAATCAATCCTCTCCATTTACTCCAACTTGAAACCCATTCATCTCCCATCTCTCCATGTAAATCTTTCCCCAAAAAGTGGTTCACTCTCCAATGCAAAATCCCATCAGAATTTTTCTTTTTCAAGAAGAATTCCACAAATTAATGTCCTCTCTCTCTCTCCCTCTCCCTCTCCTTATTTCTCTCCAACATGAAAGCCTATCTCTCTTTCTAAATCAGATACAAACTCTCTCTTTAAATCCAATACAAGGAACTCCCATGAAGAAAAGGTTTCAGACTGTGTGTCCGTGTGTGGGAGTGACTGCGTGCGGATATAGCCACCCAAAGTGCGGGATGTCTTCTAGTATGATTTATCTATATCTATCTTCATAGGTATAACATATGTTTTAACATTTTTGAGATATGTGGTGCAGGATGGGAGAATATGGAAGGAGCGGTTGGCTGCTAGTGTAAGGAGGAGGGCAGAGTTGCCGGTTATGAAGGAAGGAGGAGGACAGCAACACCTTCAATCAGAGAGTGAGCACATTAGGCTTCACTCTCCCCCCAGTAAGCACCTAATTCTGCCTTCTCTCAGTGCCCCTGAGCAGAATATCGTGAAGCTCCTCGAAGATTGAAAATCAAATTGAGTTCACTGTTGTTTGGAATTTGAAATGCTTTTTGCGGGTGGGTTTCTCTGTTGTATATAGTTGTTTTTTTGCCTCCTATTCCCGTTCACTATTGGTTGTTCTTCACATGTTTTGGATATATGGTCTTTTTGATATTCATGCACCTTCTTTCTTTTTGTGTTTCATGTGTATCTGAAAGAATTGTTTCTCCCTAAAAGAAGTCACTAGATATATACCAGACAGCATGATTTCATATATTGCTTATAAACAAAGTCACTTGATGTATACCAGAACATGATTTTGGTTGTAAAACTACTCTCTCCCCCCATATCTCTCAAGGATTTTTATGTCCGTTTGATATATATTTGTTTTAAGATAGTTAAGTCTGAAAGCTTCAGAAATCTCTCTCTCTCTCTCCAAGGCAACTGGGTGCCCCTTGGCTTTGGGAAATTTTGAATCCTTCCGCTCTAATATATATGGGGAATATATCACCAAGATGGTCAAACCACTTCAAAATATCTATTAGGTAGCAAAAACTACTTTTACAAAGTAATTACTTTTTAAAAATTATTTCACCTTTGGTATCTCTTCAATAATTTTATTAAAAAATTTCCAAATTGTCTCGCACTTGAAATTTAAGCAATGATATTTACATTTTTCTTTAGGCTGGGGTGACTTAAAAGGGCTAGACTATCAAAACGCCATAGCTTGTTTGTTTTGTGTTCCAAACTTAGAATTAGATATTTTATTGATAATATATGTTTTAGGTTATAAATATGGAACAAGCAATGGAACTTAGAATAAGATCTTTTATTGAAAATGTATGTTTTAGGTTATAAATCTGTAACAAGCAATGGAACTTGGGTTGTTTGGGTTGAGTGACTTAAGTAGGTGAAATTATTAAAGGGTGTCGTTTGTATAAGGTTGAGGCTTAAACAACAGGCGCACATTCAAATAGTGTGGAAAGATGTTTCAGTATTAGAAATCTTAGTGATCTCTTGAAAATTTATTCTTCATATCTAACAATAAATTTAAAGCTTCAAAAATAGTGTATATTATGCAGATCTATAAACATTTGAAAATCTCGACGGTCCAAAAAATATATTACATGATGTACTATTTCAAAGACTTGAAATCCATTTTTTATCATGTCCCCATACATCATAAGGTCGAAATAATCGATTTGAGGAATTTTGGACATCAAAATAACATCTTCTAGTAAATTTTGGATGTGCGCTTTAATTTGGTTGTTTAGGGCTGACCTTATATAAGCTTAGTCCATTAAATGCTCTTATTTATTCAGAATTTTAAACAGGGACAAGGGTAATTTGAGATGTTTCGACAAAACTCTCGAGGAGATACTTGAATGGAAGGATTTGAAAAAAACACTCTACTTTCTCCATAAAATTGTTAATTTAACCACATTGATTTTTTGAATTGGTTTAACCATGACATTTTCCATGCATTTAATTCAAGACGAGGGTACTGAACTTCAAGAAAATGTGATTGTCTCAACTTTCTGCAGAAACCGTCTTCATATTTTAATCCGGAGATGGTAGTCATGTTTCTATTCACAGTAAAGGCCATTCATTACAAAACTCCAGTCATCTTCTAAGTCAGACATCACGGTAAGTTCTGCTTTCTATGTAGGATCAAGCCCAGCACAAAGCTCCAGCAGTAAACTTCATAGAACTCTAGACCAGTAAAAGAACTGTGGCAAAGTTGTCATGTAGGTGGGTTGACCTGCCTAGTATTGTCTCTACCTGTGAATTGAGAGAGAGAGAGCTTCATTACAGTAACTTTCAATGATCAGATTCATAAACTCTCAAATTCCCAAAGTTTAGGCATGTGTGTGAGAGAGAGAGAGTGAAGAGCAATCTCTTCTTTTTTTTTTTGAACATTAACACATGGTGAAGAGCAATCTCTTCAATAAAAAATATGTCCTAGCAGCTTTCGGACTTGACGAACATTTGTGTAACCCTTTGTAACGAGACGCTCTCGCCTTCCTCGCCAGCTTCCATGGTTCCTCCACTCTTTTTTCTTCGCCATCTCGCTATGATAATCCCTCACTTTGCCAGAATTTTCGCCGGAATTCCAAAAATCAGCAGCTGTCTGCATCAAAATTAACGAGAGAAAGAAGCAAAGGAAGACAAGGGATTTAGTTATGGGCTTCATTGTTGTGGGTATGATTTATTCATGGAGGTGGAGGTGGAGGTGGAGGTGGTGGTCGGGGGTTTAAATAAGAGCTAGAAACTACTTCACAAAGACCCAAGGAAAATAAATAAGAAAAAAAAAAAAAAAATTCCCATCTCAACTAACTTGGCCTTGATTTCATGCGTAATCATAAGTGGGAGGTCCCTTCATGTGCTCACCTTTATTTGGTGGGTCGCTCGCCTTTCCTTCTTCAAATCATGGCACTCTCCTCTCGTGACACAGAAGAGAGACCTTGCCGACCATGGGATATCGAATCATGGCACTCTCGTGACCCAGAAGAGAGACCTTGTGGACGATGGGATATTGTTAACCACAATAAAACACAGATTAATGTGCTCATATATTCCATTTAGAACTCACAGATAAAAGGAAAAAGTTTATATAAGGTCGCAACCTTCAAATGTAGAATTACAGTTGCACCGAAAAAATGCATTGAAAAAGGTTGTTTTAACGTTGAAAAAAACTCTAATTGATCATCTCTACCTCGAGATATATGAATATGAAAAAAAAAAAAAAAAGATTTTGAATCCCATGCATCTTGTAATACATTATCTAGAGATTTTCATATGTTTATAGATCTGTTGGATTTTAACCATTTTTGAAGTTTAAAATTTTATAATTAGATATGAAAATAGATTTTGTGATAATCCTATGAATTTTTTTTACCAAAATTACACGGTATGATGAAATTTGGAGGTGCCCCTTAATTGGATTGTTTAAGGTTGCAACTTTATAGAAACCACGCTCACATATAAATCCTATTTTATTTTTGATATTTAAAAATAGTCTCATATGTTTCATTTTCCTTAATTAAGTCTTATTTTTTGAGAACATAAAATGTATTTTGATTTTATAGAATTTTTTTTATATATATTTTCTATACATCGGAATTAGCTCAAATTTAGTTTGTTTGTGGTTCTAATTATTATACACATACAAAAAATATTAAAAAAATAATTTAAATCAAATAAAATGAATAAAGTACCCCTATGCTTCTAAGAGCAAATTAGATATGGATACTATTGGGGATTCAATTACCAAATGGGTACTCATTTGATCGAAATTACGAGTACTACTCCCATTTCCTCCCGCGGTTTTTTTTCTTCTAAGTTGCCCTCATGTCTGGCAATACAAATATCGGATAGGAAGATGTCTAATCTTTTGAGCAAATAAGTGTAATTGATCCCCTTCCCCCTAATTTGCTTTGATTTGACAAGAATATTTGTCAATTTTCTCCTGCTGAGTTCCCCAACTCATGAGTCCACCTAGGGTTTTCACGTTTTCAACCCCATTGTGGAAAATTCCTCACTATTACTTCTTGCAGCAGGAAGTCTAGGGTATGTCTTGATTATCAAGAAATCACTTTGAGCTCTAAAAATGGTGTAGACCGGACGATATGTGAAGAAGTAAAACAAAAAGGAGTAAAGAAAAAAATTCCTTAATTAGAAATTTATTTGTTTATCTAGATTCAGGATAACTATGGCGTGATTATCGTCTCTTGATCCTAGAGAAGGATTTTGAAAGGTAGACGCATATGTATGGGATAGAGAAGGATTTTGAAGGGTGGACGCATATAGATAGCGTGGGACGCACGAAATCCCGCGGATCAAATTGCACACAGTTTGGCATGATGTATGGCTTACGGAGAAGCATATCCAAACTTAGAAAGGTCATCACTGTGTTTGACCTTGATGGATGAGATAGAATGACATCGACCATCATGTCATGCTCTAATGGGTCCCACTTCCTCTTCATCACCAACAACTCGTGCATTGGATGACGATGGCTTTTATGCCCACGCATCCGCCGTGGTCACGTGTGTTTTTTGGTGTTTTACTCTCGTACAAATTTTTTTATTTTTTTTTGAGCATAAAAATTCTATCATTTCCTTTATCCAACCGTCAATTTTGAATGGAGGGCTAAGATTGTCCCAATCACAATGTCACGTCTCTATACTATTTTATTTTTAATTTTTTTTAAAATAATGATCTTATACGACCCTCGCCCACCCATGTGTGCATGATCTCAAAAGATCACTATTAAAGTTAGCACGGATCTCTAAAAAAATTATCACAAGGGTGTAAGACTTGACTTTTCTATAAATACGTGTCAAATTTAATGAGATCATTTGGGGTCCTGCACATATGAATGGGGGAGGATCCTATACGACCATTTCTCTTTTTTTTTATATAAACTATTTTGACACCAAATTTTGGATGTCTATTCTTCTATTAAACTCACACTAGCAAAGAATATATAAAAAGTATTTTCAATAAAATAAAATGACCAAAATACCCCTAAAATTTCAAGGGGTATTTTGGTCATTATATTTTATCGAAAAATTATTTTTAATATTTTTTTTATAGGTTTGCCCTAATGAGAAGATGACACGTATCAAATTTCATATTCATACAATTTGTATAAAAAAAAAACTAAGAATAAAATACTTTGAGACATCGGATCTAATATCAAATGGCGAGTGGCTCTCTTGATCAAAATTGGACGGCTAGGTGGTAAGAGGAGGATAAAACTTCTATGCTGTAGAAGAAACATAGAAACCTTGACCTTTACTCTCTTGACCCGTTAAATTAAGAATTAATTCCAATAAGTGTGACACATGTAGCCCTATGTTGAAATCCGGGTTCATACTCATGCATTACCAAAACTTTCCATTATGGGAACCTATCTTACAGGTTAATGTTAAGGCTGGCAACGGGCCGAGCTTGAGCTGGATCGTAGGAAAACCTGGCCGACCATGACCCAGATCCGGCCTGGCTCTACATTTGGGCTGTGGTTGCGCGGCCATAGTATGCTCTCGAGCCACATTTTGTGGCCCAAGCCTTAGCTTTTTTTGCTTTTTTTTTTTTAGTGTTGTTACCATGTGATGTAAGTGAATAACACATATTGCACTTGAAAATCAATATTAGAGATTTTCAAGTATGATCTGCACCATCTAATTACATTAAGATGATATAGGTTGCATAACAATATGGTACAGTACATATGATTTCAACACAAAATCATTAATATTTTGATGGACATTTTAAAATTAAATCAAAACATTCAAGGAAAATCTTGAATAGTCAATACACGTGTGCTTTACTTCACGTAT